CCACCTTCATGCCTCTGTGGACGGGTACCCAGTTGCCACAGCAGCACGTGTTTCACAAACAGTCTTAACGAGTTGACTTGCCCTGGAACTCTTGTCAGAAATCTTTTAAATGGTATGTGAGAGTTTGTTTGCTGTGCCTCCATCTCATCCCATTGGTCTACATGCCTTGTTGCCTTATTCTCCTCCCCATCCCCTCTCTTCATGTGTGCTAGGGATTAAAGACAGGGCCTCACACATGCCACGGTCAGTTAGTTTTAACTGTCCACTTTCAGCATCCGGAACCACCTAAGAAGGGTCTCAGTAAGGGATTGCCTAGATCAAGCTGGCCTTTGGGCTATTCTGCAGCACGCTGTCCTGATTCTGTTCATTGATGTGGGAAAGCCCAGCCCACAGTTCCTCGGTGCCGGGCTGGACACGAGTAAAGCGAGCAGAAGAGCAGCTGCGCCTGCGTTCATCCCTCTCCACTTTGGACATAAGGTGGCCAGCTGCTTCCAGTTCTTGTCATCTTGACTTCCAATGAATGATGGACCACGAGCCAAATAAACCCTAAGTTGCATTTTTGTCAGCATATTCCAGCACAGCAACAGACACGAAATAAAGCATTGTACCACCAAGCTACGCCTGCAGCCCTCCTCATCTCAAAGTCACTACCTCACTGTTTTATTTTGTTTTTTGAATAAAGTTTGAACTTGGGAAATGTAAATCCTCCAGCTTTTCTCTTTTTTAGGATTGTTTTAGGGTCAGCTATGGTTTGTTCCCCAAAGGTTCACAGGTCAAAAGTTTGGTCCTCACTGGAGCAGGATTGAGAGAAGGTAGAACCTTTAAGAGTTAGGGGCTACTGCTTGGTAATTGGGCTTGGGAGGATCAGTGGGGGAGGGGAAAGAGATTAATGCCCACCCTTCAGTCGTGGGTCAAGGCTGGATTACGCACTACAAACCTAGGCTAAGTAAAGCAAGGCTCTCCACCTGCTCAGACTTCTGCTGGATGGTGCCGTCTGCTGCCGTGTTCGGCATGAGACCTTTGCCCGGTGGGTCTGCCTCAATCAGTTGGACCATGAGCCAAAATAAACCGTTTTGGGTTGGGGATGTAGCTCAGTAGTGGGGTGTGTGAGACTTTGGTGATGCCTAGAACTATACAAACAAATGAACAAACTAAACAGATAAATAATACCGACAAGCTCTGCTTCTCTATAAAGTACCCAGTCTCAGATGTTTTGCTACAGTAACACAAAACAGACTTTCCTAGTCACTGGAGCTACTGTGTATGTTTCCTATTTCCACAATAACAGTATCAAGAGGAGGACACAGCCCTCTCCACTTTACATTTTAAAATTTCATTCAGAAGCATTTCATAGTAATAGCTCTTATTTCTTTGTTTGCTTTTGTTTTGAGCAGGATCTCATATCTCCTATAGCCTGAGATGACCTTGAACTCAGTATGTGGCTGATGTTGGGCTCAAACTCCTGACCCTTCTGCCTCCTATTCCCAAGTACAGAGATCATTGATGAGCTCCAACATACCTGGCTAACTTCTTGTAGTTTTCAGTGGGCAAGTATTTTGCCTCTTGACTAATTTAATGCCCAAGTAAGTAAGAATGTATGTGTGTATGTATGTATGAATGTATGTGTGTATGTATGTATGTATGTATGTATTTTGAGGTGGAATCTTGCTAAGATCCCCTTGCCTCAGCCTCACAGAGGATTGCAGGCACACCTCAACACATCTCACTGAATGTACATTATGAATTGTGTACATGCACGTGCCCAATTGGGTACAGGTTCATGTGGCTTGTGTGCCTTGTGCATGTGTGGAGACGGGAGGTCCATGTTCTGTCGTTCTCTACGACTCTTCTTCATCTGAGACACAGTCTCTCACTGAGATTAGATCTCATTTACTGGCTAGACTGGTTGGCCAGTGAGCCTCCAGGATCCTCTTCTCTACCTCCCCAGGACTAGGATTACAGGCATATGCCGCTGTGCCTGCCTTTTGTGTGGGTGCCAGGGATCTGAACTCAAGTTCTCATGCTCGCCTGGCAAGCACTTTACCCACTGAGCCATCTTCCTCAGCCCCTTATACCTGATTGGTAAAAAAAATTAGAACAGTAGCTTAAAAAATATTTGCTCATTGAATGTATACATGTATACGTGTGTGTGTGTGTGTGTGTGTGTGTGTGTGTGTGTGCATTAGAGGGTGTTGGTTCCTCTGGAGCTGGTGTTATAGACAGTTGTGAGCCCCAGACATGGGTACTGGGAAGTGAGAACACAGGGCTGATTTTGGAATAAGGGATTGTCAAGAGGACAAGCAACAGGTCTGGGACAGTGAGTGTCCAACCTGCCTTTCCCCATGTGTAGAGTGGTGGCCTGAGCCCAGAGCATTAGCCATTGCTCATATCTGAGTCACCTGCATTTGGATTATGACTGTGTCCTGAGCTTCTTTCTTTCTTTTCTTTCTTTCTTTCTTTCTTTCTTTCTTTCTTTCTTTCTTTCTTTCTTTCCTCCCTCCCTCCCTCCCTCCCTCCCTTCCTTCCTTCCTTCCTTCCTTCCTTCCTTCCTTCCTTCCTTCCT